TCATGGCGATTTGATCCAGCATGAATTTTCTGAACCAACGATTTGACTATTTTCGATACTCAAGAATCTGCCATGTCTGTCTTGCCTACTGCTTAGACGAGTGTGTGTGTGCATGCAGAAAGAGGGCAGTGGCGAAAGGAAGCGAGGTAGGAGGGCAAAATTGGTTTACGGCAGCATGGGAGTCAGAATTACATCCAGGAGCAAATCGATAAAAATAGGCCGGAGGAAAAAAAAAAAAAAACTTGAATCGATACTCTTGCGGACGTGTTGATGCATCGGATCGTCGGCTGTTGGATCGATGCATCGATACAAAACGGTTATTATTTACACCCCTAATATATATATATATATATATATATATATATACACACACACACGTGTGGACGCACTGTACTGTATATGTCCCATGCACCTTTTCCTCCTTTTGGCACCTTCTTCTTCTCCTTTGACTAATGAGCCGATGTAACCAGTAAATTTCTCTGTGAGATCAATAATATCAATCAATCAATCAACTGATGATGAAACTCGAACAGAAGTAAGAAGAGAAGCATACAGTAGAATGTGACTTTGTATGGAGATGTTATGATGTATGTATGTTCTTATCATTGAGATGTTAATGAAAAAGTTATTTCAGAATGTGCTACGGTTACAGCCTTATTTAGAGGCGTAGGTTCGTATCTTAACCCTGACTGATTCTGTTTGCAATGACAAATAAAAAAGTTACCTTTTTTTTTTTTTTTTACTTTGGTTGTTTTTATTTATAATTAATGAATTCAGTAGTATTTTTCTCACATTTTTTTCTGCATTTTCTCCTTTACATTGTTTTATTCTAACAGTTTTATTATTTTACTCTTTTTTTTAGAAGTTAAACCTGGTTGGATGCAGCAGGTATTTGCAAGTTTGAGGGAACTTTTAGCTTTATGCTGAGAAGTCACACAGCGCATGCGCGAAAGTCGCAGGACTTCCTGCTTGTCCATAGTAACCGTTTACAGCTTCCAACGTTACTTACAGAGTTGCCTTTGACTTGGTTATCAATTATTATATATAAACTCCTCGGTTTCTTCAGTTCCTCCTTTAACCTTTAAAATATGAGCGGTTTCGTGGTCGCGATGAATCCACGTGATGGAGCAAATAGTCCAGGGACTCCGTGGTTTAATTCAGAGAAATAATACTTCTGCTGCACAGTAACAAAAAAATAAAGTTGTTTTGATCTAAAAGGTGTCCTTTTAGAGATCACAGTGAAATCATTTACAGCTCATGTTCCCAAAGTCTATGAAGCGTGGAAGAGGCGGGGCGACTTTCCTTTAACACGTGTGTTCCCACTGATGAGGCTTTCACAGGCGACTTGGATGGTTGTTAAATCTGCGTCTTTGGGGATGTTTTTGTTTTGCAGGGTATTAATTATATTGAAGAGGAATAGGAGCACTGAAAAAAATAAAAAAATTGACTTATTTTAAATTGTTATTTCTGTATAATATAAAAATTCAGAATTCTGAATTTAATCTCAGGATTCTAACTTTTTTCTCAGAATTCTGACTTTATTCTGGGAATTCTGAGTTTAATCTCAGAATTCTGCTTTTTTTCTCAGAATTCTTACTTTAATCTCAGAATTCTGAGATTAGTCAGAATTCTGAGAATAAACTCATAATTCTGAGATTTAAGTCATAATTCTGAGATTAAAGTCAGAATTCTGACTTTATTCTCAGAATTCTGACTTTATTCTCAGAATTCTGACTTTAATCTCAGAATTATGACTTAAATCTCAGAATTCTGACTTTATTCTCAGAATTCTGACTTTAATCTCAGAATTATGACTTAAATCTCAGAATTATGACTTTATTCTCAGAATTCTGACTAATCTCAGAATTCTGACTTTAATCTCAGAATTCTGACTTAAATCTCAGAATTATGACTTAAATCTCAGAATTATGACTTTATTCTCAGAATTCTACTAATCTCAGAATTCTGACTTTAATCTCAGAATTCTGCTTCTTTTCTCAGAATTCTGACTTTAATCTCAGAATTCTGACTTTATTTTCAGAATTCTGACTTTTTTCTCATCTCAGAATTCTGACTTTAATCTCAAAATTCTGACTTAAATCTCAGAATTCTGCCTAATCTGAGAATTCTGACTTTATTCTCAGAATTCTGCTTTTTTCAGTGGCCCTCAAAACATGTTTTTCTTTTGCCCTATTCAGTCACAATAAAGTGTTTTTGAGAATTAATAATTTGATTTAGATAATTAATAATTTGATTTAGATAATTAATAATTTGATTTAGATAATTTACTGAGTGGTGGAGGTTGTTTCTTTATAAACCAAGTATGTCCATTCTAGGCCAAATTTAGCAGGAAGGGGTACTTTTAATAGGGGCACAGAACAACAGACTGAAGCAAAAAAAAAAAAAAAAAAAAAAAAAACTGCATGGCAATAGTTCCCTGTTTAATGTTAAGCACCAGAGTTTGTGATTCCTGTATATATATATATATATATATATATATATATATATATATATATATATATATATAACAAAATTAAGGATCTGGATCTGATCTGTTTTCCACTGGTTTGAAGAGATGGAAGCTTCAGATTTGAAGAGTAAAACAGACATAACAGGTTTTCTTTAATAAAACACATGTACACTATTTTGTTCAGCATGTTTGTGAAAACCACACATCTTCTTCCTTTCAGCTCATAAATAAGCCATTTTTGAGTTTGCCCGTCAAATGAAATTCAATTTAAAATGTTAAGTTTTTATTTCTAATGTCACATTGTTCCATATGAATGTCATATTGATAATAACTGTAACATTATGTCTACTTTCTAAGTCGCTTTGGATAAAAGTGTCGAATAAATGCATAAACATTAACAACATAGTTGAGGGAACATGAATAAATCTGCAAAGTATCGCATTCTGGGATGTTCTCTCTCTGGTCTAGTCTCACCACTTTGCAAAAACTATGATAACACGAATCAGTAAAGGTCGTCTTTATTCCACCAAATATTGTAAAATTGTCCATTAGACATGATTTAATTACACATTATTTGAACTGTTGGGGATCAGTTCATGTCAGATGCCACATGGGTCCATCACAAATACCAGCAGCTTGAAAAGAGATATTTTGGTAATGATTTTAATTTTACAACTTTTTTTTTTATCATTTCAACCACATTAGGATAATATGAATGACTTTACAAAAACAAACAAACAAACAGAAAATGGTTGCATGAAGCCATTTATTATCAAACAACATCAGGAATCAATATAAATAACCTTAAGGAAAATCTGCTATAACCTGTAGGTCTGGGTCTGATTACATGCACACAAAGGATATTTCTTGGTTTGAATAGCTACTAAAGGCACCAATTTCCACACATAGGCCTCATATGTTTAATTTGAAATCATGAGTTTCTCAGCTGCTGGATGACTTCTGCATGCTTCACTTAATGATATTTTCATTTTATCTTAATTTTTTTAATGTACAAGTCTTCAGAAGAAAACCACTATAAAAGAAGCTCTTTACACCAAAAAATCTAATTTGAAAATGTATAATTCCTGGAGTAAAGTTGTTCACTCATAGTTTGGGGCCACAAAATTCAAGAATTTGGTTAAAACTGAGGGAAGGATGAAAAAGGCATGTTGGAAAATGCTGAAGGAAAAATTGCACTAACAATCCCAGGAGCTGGAGCATGGAACACCCAAACCAAATAATGATCTAAAACTAGGTTAAGTTGACCTGTTAATCACCACTGCTGCAAGAGTGAAGGTTCAATCTGCAGTGATCCATCTTTATCTCCTGACCTCATGATCATTGAGCCACTGAGATTATCTTAAACATTCAGTTCATAGATGATAGTATAGAATTTTAAATAACACTCTTATGAAAAAAATGGGTTGCTGATGGCTCCACAGCTACATCAAGGTATTACAAGAATTATGTTTTTAAAACTGTTTTTGTTCTCAGGTCAATTTAAATGGCTTCAACTAACTATCAATGGGTCAAAGAAAATATTCTATCATTAATTTTCTCCCAAAAAGGAATTTCCAACAGGATATGTAAACTTGTGGGCACTTATCTCAAAGTTAATGAAATAAGGTGAAATAATATAAAAGGAAAGTGATATTAAAGGGAATTTAAATTATCCAACATTTCTTGAAGATAATCATAACATGTGGAGACACTGAAAGTGTGTGGCAGAGCAGCCTCTTCATATCAGGGGCGGAGCTAGAGGGGGGCAAGGGGTGGCCATGGCCACCCTTACCCACTCATTTGCCACCCCTGTGGCCAAACCTACCATACTTTTCTCATAATCCTGAAAGTGGCAGCAGTAATACTCTCAAGTGATACTGCAGTAATACTCTTAACATTCAAAACATTTTAATTTTTTATAGATTAACAAATACTTGACCACAAAAACACTGTGGTTAGTTATACGCATCAATATACTAACATTGAAGATGATAAAGCACAAAATTCATGCTCTTTTCAGAACTAGATTTTGTGTTATATGGGGTAAAGAGAATATGCAAGTCAGTCTTCAGTTAACTATTCTAATAAAAACTTAGTAAATAAAAATTTTTTGTACATATTAGTACTTGTAAATATTAATTTTCTGCAGAATTATTATTGATAAAAGTAGGTAAGTAATGATGATAGAAAAGATGTTCAACCCAGAACTCAAACCTGAAAGAACTTTATCCACTATACCACTATATCCATCTCATCTAGATGGATGTTTAAATATATGCATCTATTTGTTAGGAAAGTATAGTTTGTCTTTATTTGGAAAATATGAATGTTGTGGTTGTTTATTTTCCTGTTGGATCAGTATAGATTGACCCTAAGGTTCTGGTTTGGCCACCCTTCAGTGTACATTGGTTATTGCCTGGCCACCCTTATCAAAATGTTCTGGCTACGCCTCTGCTTCATATATCCCAATATAGCCTACTTAAGGCGCCGCATCGCTGTTATGTAACATTACTCTTCATAGCTATATATCATCTGATCAGGCTCGTGGAAATCCTCTAAAGTAGAGGTGGACAAGGATGATGAGACCCGACTATGGACCGATGGGATCCGAGTGGAGATGTGGGGGAGAACTGGTCTCCCATTCCTCTGCATAGTGGGAGCACTATCACAGACCACGTGAGAGGAATAACCAGACGGTCCCCCACAGACAGACACCGGCTCATCTCCTCTGCTGCTGCTGACATGGACTTCCCGTAATCAGTCGTGGAGGGAGGGACACTCTGACTGAATGTAACCTCTGATCTTTCTCTGCACTCTTTTCTTTTTTTTTCTGTTCTTTTTCTTCTAACGGTTTTTTTTTTTGGGTGGGGGGGAATAGAGTGGATGCTATGGCTTGGCCGTGCATCAGCAGAGTATGCTGCCTGGCTCGCTTCTGGAATCAGTTGGATAAATCGGACCTCTCTGTCCCACTCACCATCCAGAACTACTCTGACATTTCGGAGCACGAGGTCCGCTCCGTCACCAAGCAGATCTCCGACTTCGACAGTACTTACACCCCCCAGGAGCCGCGTGTGAAAGGGTCCCCTCAGGAGCCCGCAAGTTCTACCCGAGGACCCTCCCGGGCACGGAAGGAGCCCAGCTACAAGCCCAGAGAGGACTACCACCCGCCCGGGGTGCCGTTCCCCAGTGTCACCCAGTATAAGCAGGATTTCAAACCCTGGCCCATTCCCAGGAAGGATAATTTCCCCTGGATCAGTAACGGGGGCAACAGAGGGGATGGTGCTTCTGACGGCACCGTAAACAGTAACCAGGGCCACGTGCAGGTGGGGGACAGGAGAGGGGACAGGCTGGAGCAGCAGGTGATGGAGGAGAGCAGAACCAGCTCCTACAGGTATGTGCTTTCAGTAGTTTCAGCACCGGGCGCTGTCCACCCCATCACTGTCCCAGCGAGGAAAGCTGTCTGCTGATGACTGCTTTCATGCTCAGTTTATTTATAGTGAAGATAAATCCATACTGAACTCAGAAAGCCTGCACACAGAGGGAGAATCACTGCTAATTAATCATGTTTCAAAAAATACAGAAAAATGCTCCAAGAAGAGTTGGAAATCATTATTTGAATGTAAATATCTCTCTCTATATTTTTTTTTTTTATTCTGGGTGGTTGCATGACATTATTGCTCAGGAGCACACAGCAGGTTGTATGTCATCACTCATCAATATAAAGTTTTGTTTAGTTTTAAAGTAGCAAATGCCTTACAGCTTTGTGCAGCACAAATTGCTTCGAAATGCTGTCAATTCAAATTCATTTCAAGTTAAAAAGTACTTTAATAATCCCTAAGAAATGAAATGTTGCAGTATCTCATGTTTCCTCAGTCTGTCCTGCACCGGTTAGGAAAACACTTTTGGCTGAAGATACTTTGTTGGTGTTTAACAGCCAGATGAAGAGGATGCTCACTCTTGTCCATAATGTTCTTCATTTTATGAAGAATATTTCTTTGTTGAAAAAAATCTCCAGAACTGGCCTTGTCTGCTTGATAAGCTTCTGTAAGTCATTTGCTGTGATTCAGTTACCCCAGCAGATGATGGCAGATGAGAGCATGCTAAACAGATAAGTAGCATCTTGCTGCAAACACAGAAGGACCTAAGTGTACTTAGGTAGTATAGTCTGCTCTGCTCCTTCTTGTAAACAGTGTTACAGTTGGGATTCCAGTCGTACAATACCTCCACTTCTTCTCCCATGGTTTTTAATAAAATTTGGCTTGTTTTTATTTCTTTTACTATTAAAGCTCATCTCCATTGTTTTTTTTTTTTTCACATTCAGGATCTGAGGATTATTTCCCCACAAAGCGATTCCCCATCTCCCTGTGCTCAGCTAATTGACCGTCTCTGCAAGTGGCTGGTTGCTCCTGTGTTGCTGACTAAAACTGAAAAGAGAGCTGACCCTTCAGTCTCACAAGCTGTGGTCTGTTTGTCAGATAGTCTTTGATCCAGAAGATTGTTGCTGCCTCAACCTGAGGCTTCTGGAGTCTCTGACAAAGTAAATCAGGCTGAATCGTGTTGAATGCACTGAAGAATAATAAAAAGCTGGATCCAAACAGTGCTGTCTACCATGTTTAAATGAATGGTTTAGTTGAAGCAGGCGAATTATGGCTTCTTCAGATCCTACTCCATGATGGTAGGCAAATTGTAGAGGATTCCGGTAGCTCCTAGTTCTGATTGTTGCTCATGTAGACCAAAGGGAGTCTCTCTGGGAAATTCATGATATAGGATGTCAGGGAAATTGGTCTATAGTCATTTGACAGCTGTTGGTAGAGTTTCCTTTGGTACCAAAACAAGGCAGGAGGTCTTCCACATCACTGGAACCATTTCCTGGATCAGGATAAGGATTAGGAGAAGCTGCAAAATCCCACAGAGATCCTTCAGGACTCTGGGGCTGACTTATTATGATTCAGTCTCTCCAGGATCCATCTCCTTATTTTTACTGAAAACAAATGCAGAGAAGCAGTGGGGTCCATGGTAGAGGTGGAAGATTAGACATTTCAGGTGTGAGCGAAGGAAAAGGAAAGGAAAGCAAGATGTGTGTTGGCAGGAAAGAAGGATGCAGGTAGTGTAACAAATTTCTGGGAACACATAGAAGCGTAGTGATTAGTTTACATTCTAGCATTAAGTGAAGAGGAGGAAGGTATATAAACAGCAACAGGTGGGAATAATTAGTGGTGGCAGTTCGATCTAGTTATGGTGCTAATGGTGGCTGAGAAGTCACTAAAGAAAAGAAAATGCACCATGGAGTGAGACTAATTAATCAAAAACTGAAACAGAACAAAAATCAAAGACACAGAGACAGATTTAAAAAATCTATATAAAAAAAGAAGATTTGATCCACAAAGAGGAACTGAAGTTTTTCCAACAAGGCAAATCTGCATCAATCTAGCATAGCTACTCCAATGTGCAGCCAACCTGAGAACTGTAATTCTAGAATAATTTCCCATGAAGCAAAAACCGCCCATCTAACCAAACAGATGCAAAACATATTGCAAAAGAAGCTGATATACTCCAGGTGGCACCAAATTTGTAAATGTAGACCAAGAACATTAAATACAATACATAAAAAAGGCACCAAAAAAATGAGAAGTTACATCATTGTAAAAAAGAACAATAATAGCAAAAATATTTAAAAAATTGACAAAGAAGCTTTATTAAATGTTACGATAAAAAATCCAATAAATAACTAAATAATAAAGCAGAAAAAAGAATTTCTGCTTTATTAAGAAGTATACACTAATTTATGCAATAAACAACATTGAAAAAATAAAAAAACATTAAATTCACCTAACTAAAATTAAAGTTACTCTCCAAGATTAGTTGCTGTTTATTCTTAAATCTTTAACTATTTAAAGATCAAGTTAAAAGAAACCCAGACACACAACCACCACCTAAGAACAAAAGTTGTATGTTTAATGTCCTATGAAGCGTTTTCACTCTTTCTGCCACCAATACAGCAGCTTAAAGCTTTAGATTTTTTAAAAATGTGCTATCAGAGGAGCTAATAGTTCTTGAGAGCTCATATAATGAAAAACATGTTGGATAAATCAGATCTGTTCGGCTTACAAAGAGCTTTGTAAATAACTACAACCAAAGAAGGAAACAGGTAGGGTAGAAACTTTTAAATTGGTGTGTGAGGTATTTGCCCTGTTATGTTTGTTTGTTTTTTTGGTCAGATTCTAGTATTTAAGTTTTTAAGCATCAGTACAACATCATTAGGTCTGTAACTTAATGGTAACCCTGCTTTAAAGTCAACATACTGATGCATTTTACTTCCTTCAGGCAAGAATACAAGCCATGGACAGGGGTGAAACCAGCCAGAAGTGCAAGGAGAAATCCAGCCACTCAATACTCCAGCCCAGGGACAGAGGCCACCCATATCCCATGTGAGACCAGCTACCAGGCAGCCTACAGCGGAGAGGTCAGCCGGTCCATGAGCAGGCACAAGGCTGAGCTCATCCCCCCATCTGCTACCTCCATCATCCAGCCTCCCTCCATCACTCAGCACAGCTCAGCTGCCCCGCGGGTCGGCAGGTCCTTGAACCCCCAAGGCCTTCAGCAAAGCATCCTACCTGACAGCACAGAGCACAGTGGAATAACCAAGAGAGAGGCAAGCACATTTTCAGTTTTTAAACTAGATGGTTTCAAAGAAATTCATTAAACACTGCAGCACCCTCTTACTGAATGTCACCTGCACTTATCTCCTTGGCTGCTTTGTGCTGCTGGGGCATCTGAGTAAAGTGATACAGCATTCTGTCCCAAAGCAGCTCAAAGTGACCCAGCTGTTTAAAACAGGCCGTGTGCTGTGTTAGGTAACACTGCTGGTGCTATACTCATCACTTTGACCTGAATAGAACAGAGATGATGGGAAAGGAAATGAGTGTGACTACTAAATGAGGTCCAGCTCAGCTGCTAAATAAGATCCCCTCACTGTCAATGAATCCACAAATGGTGCCCAGGTAAGCAGAAACACACCATATAAAATCATGCACATCTGATAATTCTTTGTAATTACAACTCCAATATCCTAGATTATTTCATCTTTAGTCTTGTGCATCAGTGTTTGATCGAACTTTCAAATTATTATTATTTTTTTTGGTTAGTGCAAAAATGGCTAAACTTCAAAAAGTCTTGTCAAACTGGGGAGTGAGTCATAACCTAGTTTCTATCTCTCAAGCTTTTAAGTTATATGTGTAGTATATATTGTGCAATCGCAACACACTTTTTGCATGGAGCAAAAGGTCTTTGTAAGGTGAATTAAGGTTACGCTCACAATTTTTTTCACAGGAGCTAGTGCTTGTTGTATCACCTTTTGCACGGTTTCTCAACACCAAACTCAGAGAAAATGTCTTTCATTCAAAGTACATATTTTTGATACTTTTTTGTTTTGTTTTAGTTTTTTACCTTTGATGTAAAAATCTTCTTTTGCATGCCCGATATGGGAAAAAATATTGCTCTATTCTATTATAATCTACTGTTTAAAGATACAGCAGGATCATTTGTTGACTGGATAATCACTAGTCATGCATGAAGAAAGTCTTTCCTAAAATTAAACTACAGTAATTCCATGTTTCTGTAAAGATAGCAGGTGCAGCCTTGGAGGGAGATATGGGTTTGTGAGATTATTTTAGGAAACAGGAAGGGGTTGGAAATGAAACACATACTAAATTCAAACGGTCTGGCTCCTTTTCTGCTGCCCCTTGCATGTTTTTGCAGATCATAATGTTTCGTGACAGTTTGTTAGGCGGTTTATTGGAATCTCCAGAGGTTTAGTGCCATCCCTCTTGCCCAACCACAGCGCTCAGCTCCATCTGCCAGCATGGAGAATGTTCACTCTGACCTGGACCAGATCAGGTAGTCTACCAGTCTGTGTAGCAACATCTGCTCTACTAAGCTGCAGGGTATTAAGAAACAGGAAGCTAGAATATATGTTTTCTCTCTGTTGTGTCCTCTGGGTTTGTCCTCACATTGCCAGCTCTCATCTGCTTGTTAAAAAAAAAAAAAGCAGGATTAATCCACGGGAGTGAATTAAGACCTCCTTCTGCCTATTTGGATGATTTTTCTAAGCCGTGTCTGCACTGTTAAACCATTTTTGCCACTGGGTGTCCTGTGTGATGAGCGTGGAGGTCAAAGTTAGAGATGTCAATGACAGGACAGCAACTCTAAAAATAATTCTGACCCAGTTTGAGTGAGGGCCCACAGCTTGTACAGTGAAGGAGGTTTTGCTGCTGGCAGTGTGTAGGAAGCATGCAATAAGGATTTTTCCGTACAAGCATGTGAGTATTCATTCGTCTGACGAACCCTTCCAAAAAAAAAACTGGCCTGGTGGCAAATGAAGTTGATCTCATGATAATCCACATCAGCCCACTCAGGGCCAACTCATTACTGACTCACCAACCCCCTGCAGAGGTGTCTGACCGGGCTTTACACATCCCACTCCAGCATGCCTTACACTCTGGCAGCATTGGTCCATGGTGGTTCTCCAGCTTGCATGGTGTTCTGTTAAATTATTGCTTCTCCAAGCTTTGGCAGAGCCTCTGCATTTCAAGTGGTCGAACTGACTGTTACTTTCTAAATTTGACTCAGTGAGATGACAGAGGTGGGCAGGTGAACTGATCCCACTGTTCCTCAAATCAGCATCCAGACCAAAGAGATTATTTCTGAAATCATATAAGATTTTAAAAAATGCTGTGAAATCAACTTGAGATTCTTTAAATAATGAAAAAGTTTTTTTAATTGATTAACAAAATAGCAAAAGACCTCAAAGCAAGAGGCTGTTGCAAGAAAAAAAAAAAAAAAAAAAAACGTTTAACCCACCAAGACTGAGCTTTTAGAGTCCCTGAACACAACACGTTATAATGCAATGATCTCAGATGCACAGTTAGATTGATGATGGAAACAATCGTTTTAAACCGCACAAAGAGGATTACATGGCCTGCTGGGACAATGCATTCTGAAAGCCACCTCCTTTCACCCACTTCTCTATTTTGCTCCATTGCCAGAAGTGGGGGTCGTGTGGAGGCGGCACAGGGCCTGTGCTGGTATTGATTTTCTGCTACAGGCAAATACGCTTTACAAAATCATTTGTGATTAGAAGGTAAAGTAATAAACAAATCAAACAAAGAAAACGGAAGCATAGTCAAAGCATGCTTGTAATATTTTTTTTTTATTCTGCTTTTTTATGTTCATTTTTGTTTCTGCAGCTAACATCAAACAAATTTCTATTAATTTCAATTTCAATTTAATTCAGCTTATTTATTTAAAGCGCTTACAACTAATAACTCAGAATGCGGTAAAATGTTTACCAATATAGACATGTTAGACATCATTGGAAAGCTTAGATTCTCCACAATTCAACCACCAAGTTTTTTATGGACACAGTGAGCACCAAAGCACAATTAACACAGATATAGCAGCATGTCAAAATGTAAACATGACAAAGCAGCCACAACAAGCAAGCATGTCTTTATTACTGCTGTTCAAAAAAGACCTAATATTTTCGAGGATAAAAACCCCCAACTTTGAGTTATGTTTGAACTGATGCAGCTTGGATCGTGTTTTACTCAATTTTCCTTTATATATTCAGAAACTAGAATTTGTTAGCTTTCAAATAATAGATCACACATGTAATTTCGGCTTACAGTTCCTAAGTTATTTGCTTTTCCATTGGGGATGCAAAATAGGTGAGAATTTCCCAAAATGAGGTGGATATTAAGAGGCTAAGGAAAACCGGCTTATTGCATCGATCCCTCAATATTACCAGGCATTACATGAACAAAAAGTGTTATAATTAAATCCTTTATTTGTACTTAAAAGTTTTGAAAACTTAAACTTAAAAGTAAAGTTTTGATTTCTTTTCAGCCCATTTGCAAAAATATATCACCAGGTCTCCATAACAACTATTAAACACTTCCAGTATTATGGTTGCTGAGGAAGTATGCAAGAAAAATAAACCTACTGTTAAGAACAGTAAAGGATCCATTATGCTGTGAGGAAAGTGTAAAGAGTACATGACATTCTGACATGGATGATTATCACTTTTCTCTTTATATAAACAAAGATCATGGTAACAAATACTCTTCAAAAGGCGATACAGTATCACACAGTGTGGTGGGGATTGTTACTTTAGCTGTTTTAACCGTTTTATTGCAATGTTTGTCTCAGGAGAGAATTCACAAATAGGTAGCACTGTTCAGCAGAACAGCACTGTTTATTTGCACATAGGTAGGAGTTTGTCTTTTTTGGCCTTGATCTGTAGGAGTGAGGTGAGGTATGCAATGACTAATCTATAGTTTAAGACTGTGATGCCTTTTCAAACGTTTCAAATCATCTTTACTTTCAAATCTATCAAAATAAATGGAGTAATATATGATTAAATGTCCACTGCGTGTCCCTTATGGGCAGAACTAGTCAACTGACAATAGCTTGGTAAGTCCTGCAGGGTAGCGGCTCTTTCAACGGAGAAATATAGATCATCTGACACAGACAAGTAAATGTAGTCAAATTAAAGAGGGACATTATGCTACCTAAGTGAAAGACACATTTATTTTAAGACTGTTTCCACATTTTTACCAGGGGTGCCAAGGGATGTTGCGAACATATGGTTCTAGATTGGTTACAGAACATTTCTGTAGGTGAGGTGCCTGGATGATTCAACGTTAAAAGGAGAGAAAACACTGTCAGTTTGCTGAGAAGAGTCACAGCTGAGATACTGTGTGAAGTGAAGGCGTTCTGCTGGCAAAACAAACTCTCACAAAATGACATAGCAGAAAAAGGGAAGGCAAAACACAGTCCTTTTTTGACTGTGGCCAAGTTATTATCCTCATTCCCTGGATTTTTACTTCCTGTTGGTCTGATCTACCTCTATTCTTTCACTTGGACCTCATCCCCATTCCCACGCTACCGGGACCACAGAGGGAAAGCTTGGTGCCAAGTTGGCAGGACTCAAAGCAGCATTGTGTTAAGATGGGGGTGAGGGAGGGAGAGACGGGAAAAATATAAGGTGAGAGGTTTGAGATTCATCATACGAATGATAAGTGGCAGCAAGCATGAAGAGGGAGGAGAGAGAACTGGGTGCATCATCTGATGGATTATCTGTTAAAGTGCAATGTTGCGTCGGGTTGCAGTCTTGTTCAGCACCAATCTAATTTAGGAGAGAGGCAGCGCTCACGCTGCACAGAGCAGAAAAGACTGAATGTGTGTGTGTGTTTGTTGGGGGGATGTGAAAAACGTCTCAACAATCCAGCTTACTGAACGAATACAGCTTTCTCTGCAGCAGCCCACTGTGCTGGGAAGTCCCTCCCAATAAAATGCTCAAATGACATGCATACCTTATTATTTTCCTTTTTTTTATTATTTACTCAAAAAGCCATAAAGGCAGATTTTCATCTTCAGCTTGATAGGAGTACAAATGCAACTAAATTCATCTTAATTTAGAGTACATGTTCAGTCACACCTAATATTCGATATGCAAACTACACAAAAATACACTATATTGCCAAAAGTATTTGCTCACCCATCCAAATTATTGGAATCAGGTGTTCCAATCACTTCCATGGCCACAGGTGTATAAATTCAAGCACCTAGGCATGCAGACTGTTTTTACAAACATTTGTGAAAGAATGGGTCGCTCTCAGGAGCTCAGTGAATTCCAGCGTGGAACTGTGATAGGATGCCACCTGTGCAACAAATCCAGTCGTGAAATTTCCTCGCTCCTAAATATTCCACAGTCAACTGTCAGCTGTATTATAAGAAAATGGAAGTGTTTGGGAACGACAGCAACTCAGCCACGAAGAGGTAGGCCACGTAAACTGACGGAGCGGGGTCAGCGGATGCTGACGCGCATAGTGCGAAGAGGTCGCCAACTTTCTGCAGAGTCAATCACTACAGACCTCCAAACTTCATGTGGCCTTCAGATTAGCTCAAGAACAGTGCGCAGAGAGCTTCATGGAATGGGTTTCCATGGTCGAGCAGCTGCATCCAAGCCATACATCACCAAGTGCAATGCAAAGCGTCGGATGCGGTGGTGTAAAGCACGCCGCCACTGGACTCTAGAGCAGTGGAGACGCGTTCTCTGGAGTGACGAATCGCGCTTCTCCATCTGGCAATCTGATGGACGGGTCTGGGTTTGGCGGTTGCCAGGAGAACGGTACTTGTCTGACTGCATTGTGCCAAGTGTAAAGTTTGGTGGAGGGGGGATTATGGTGTGAGGTTGTTTTTCAGGAGCTGGGCTTGGCCCCTTAGTTCCAGTGAAAGGAACTCTGAATGCTTCAGCATACCAAGACATTTTGGACAATTCCATGCTCCCAACTTTGTGGGAACAGTTTGGAGCTGGCCCCTTCCTCTTCCAACATGACTGTGCACCAGTGCACAAAGCAAGGTCCATAAAGACATGGATGACAGAGTCTGGTGTGGATGAACTTGACTGGCCTGCACAGAGTCCTGACCTCAACCCGATAGAACACCTTTGGGATGAATTAGAGCGGAGACTGAGAGCCAGGCCTTCTCGTCCAACATCAGTGTGCGACCTCACAAATGCGCTTCTGGAAGAATGGTCAAAAATTCCCATAAACACACTCCTAAACCTTGTGGACAGCCTTCCCAGAAGAGTTGAAGCTGTTCTAGCTGCAAAGGGTGGACCGACGTCATATTGAACCCTATGGATTAGGAACGGGATGTCACTTAAGCTCATATGTGAGTCAAGGCAGGTGAGCAAATACTTTTGGCAATATAGTGTATATGGAAGCCCGTTTCTGCCACATAAAAAAAAAAAAATGCCAAACAGAAAGTCATAATTATGAGATACAACATTTGAAAGTTCAATATCTCATAATTATGACTGAAAGTGAGAAATTATGACTTTGAATCTCATAATTATGACTTTTTAACTAATTAAGACTTTCTATTTGCCATTTTTTTACTTTCATATGGCAGAAACAGGCTTCCAAAAAAACACATTATTGGCTGAGTGATAATAATTTTAAAGTTTGGGCTACTCATAAATTCTTCTTGTTTCAAAAAACTTCCTAAAGATGTAAAAATAATTGGAAATAATTTGTCAAAAAATGATGCCCAGGAGATAATTCAGGGACATGAGATTAGAGGTTATTCTGACCAGATTTAGAGTCATATAAATGCAGCTGCTGTTGTGTGAGAGGTTAGATTTGAGATGTTTGCATCGCCGATGCAGGAGCATCTGTAGAGAAAGATTCTTTTTAATGGTTCATTCAGCTGAGGGGAGCAACTCTAAGATGGAAACAGTAACACAATCATGTCTGGTGGAGCTCAGACGCAGACCTGATGCTGTGTGACGGCACTGTCCAGGGAGTCTCTTTTCATTTCATGGAATCAGTCAGAGCACCATGGCTGCCGCTGACATCCATCTCTCTGTCTCCTTCTTTCACGCAGGAGCATCTGGTGAGGACCAAACTGCCCCCGAACCCTTCTGCGGTCTTTCAAAGTGGATCAAGGGTCTTCAACATCTGACAGCTGCTTCGACTCTCCTCCAACTCCACTTTGTTCACATTAAGGAATCCAGACGGGAATGTTTCAAGCCCATTCCACAACACAAGAATCTATGCAAGGGAATGTTGTTGTTGTGAACGCTGTTGAGCAGCAGCTTATTATCCCAGGTGGAGATTTGAACCACATCTTTTGATACTACTCTAGACTTCCTGCTCCTATAAATGAAACGCATGTCACAGAATAGCTTAGATACACTTTTCCTTTTTGTGTTTGTTTTATTTCGGTTATATACACAGAAACTGGCTGCTCTGTATGTTTGTGTTTGTGTGCCTGCTCTCTTATCTTCAACGCACAAACTGTTGAATCTGCAACAATAATCCAAGACATGATTTGTCAGAAAGTGTGTTTGCTTGTAATGCTATGCTGCGCTTTGGTGTCATTAGAAATCTGCCTGAAAACAATTTATTACCTTTACATTCAGTTCACCTTTAAAGAAGATATTGTTTAGTCCATTTTGGGATAATACCTAAAAAAGAAAAAGGTAAGATGTTGAATAACAATAAAAAATATATTCACTAGGCCTGGTGCGTGTCTTTACTCAGCTGCTGGTTCCAGATTAGAGTTCAAATCTACACATTTTCTTTTAATGGATATAAAAAATACTTTATGACAGGTTCTAATCATATGCAAAGAGGCCAACACAATTTAAGTAAATCAGTTAAATCATCAGATTATAAAAGCTTTGGGTCAATCATGAAAAACAAAGTTAGGGATTTTCAGATCTTAAAGACGATTAACATTAAAACTATCATACAGAGTTGGTTTTATATATATAAATATATTTATAATTTTTTTTTTTAACAAAAATTAAACTTTTCTGAACTACATTTTTATTTATTCAAAGCTTCTTTTATTGACCACATTTAAAAGGATTTACTAAACTGTGATAAAATTAAAGTATTACCGAGGCACTCTCGGTATTTCATTGGTTACCTAGGTAACCGTGAGTTCCTCAAAATGTAGATCAGCTCTTAAGACGCCTCGAGTCAGAATCTCATTGTAGCTTTGTTTCCTGTTCACTTATGCAGAGTTCACACCATCATCCCACTGTGGACATTTAAAGCTCCAAATTATTTAGAGAATCATTCTGACGATCTTTTTCAGTTCATACCGAAACTCTGCTTAGATTGACACACAGCTCATCCATACAAGCATGTAGATCAATGAACTTTTTAATCTCCAAGATTTTAAGAAAGATTTTACTCTGTTTATTATAAGAATATTGATCATATTTTTGGTTTGCACAAAAAAAAAAATACAAAACAGGGTTTCAGTATTTTGTACAATGGTTTCATTCGGTTAAACAGGCCAATCAGCTTACGTTTCCTTTCACTCAAAGCTCAACAGCACACACGCTCATGTTTATTGAATGACAAACACTTAACAATACTCACCAAATAATTTCATTTACTCTAAGAAGAACACGCATACTCAGTTGTTTAGGTACAAATAAATATTTCCATGGTAAACAGAAAAAAACTAAACATTTAAATACTATTTGAATGCATCCTAATTCACGTACTGGTTATGCACACCATTCCCCATATAGAAACCATTTTGCTGCTTATTTCAGGTCTGTATTTCCACTATCTGCTCACTCTGCTGAAGCTTTGAAGGTTAAAAACGTCACTTACACTGGACAACCAAAAATTAACAAATGTCAGTGGTGAGTACTGGTGAGTATCATACATAGCATGATGGATATGACAACAGTTCCAACTATTGTGAATGATAACCACTAGTTCACAATGAAAATCATTCAACTAGTGTCAAATGTCAGACAAAAACAAGTTTTATGAAGAAAAAAAAAAGTCAGCAAACTTGTATTTTACCGTTGCATTATAATTATTTCTGCTGGCTGGGTAACACTGAAAGACATTAAAAGGATAAAGGGTATGGGTGATGATGATCACTCGTTGCCATAGCAGCAACACCTTTGGGAGAACCTCTTGTTGGATATAAAGTACCCAGAGAGAGAACACCCAGATTATCATTAGCGTTCTTAATATGCTGTAAATCACAGCTTCCTCCAGCTAAAAGAAAAACAAAAACAGAAATCCAATGCATCAAACCCAAAGAGACTGCAGGGAGGACAGTTTCTAGCTCCATAATTCACACAGGGTTTATTTCCCCTACGAGCACCTCTCTGGTATGAACACTTCATCACTGAAATAATGTTATGAGGTATGAGAGAAGAACAGCTACACTGAATTAAATAACACAGACATCATGATGTGGCTTCTTTCCAACAGAAATAAAAGGTGACCATACAAAGTATTAAAAAGGTTTGTCACTCAGCAGCTCTGGAGCAAGCTGAGCCCTTCACTCATTGAGTTCATGATTTCAGCTGTTGCTGTGCCTCCTGAGCCAATGGGACCGACTATGGACGCATTTATTCACGTCAAGAGAAGCGTCTCTTCCTTATGGCTCCCCGTCTGTTTAACACGTCCGCTTCTACTCAAAGTCAGATTCTGTTTGGCCTCAGGTGTCCTTAGTCAGGCAACCCATGTGTGCATTTGTGAGGAAGTCACAGGTTGGGATGCTACTGACGGCTTGGTGGATGTTCATGGCTGTGATCTCCCTTGGTGCTCTGAAACCCAAACAGGTCCATGTTAGGATCTTACGTAAAACTCAGAACTCCACAAAACCGGAGGACCTACAAACATCATGCTGGATACTGAGCTTTGATCAATTAGGTTTATATTGTGGTGAAAAAACTGACGTAACTTTCTGCAATCTAGGACCGATATGATAATTAATCTCTAAAGACAGCAGAACCAAACCAGCACTAACTCCATGTAGCAAAGATTCCCAATACTATTTTGTTTCATGATTATAAACAAGGACATAGGGGAAAAAACAAAAAATAATCACAACAGACTGGTGGCCTGGATAAGCTGCAGATATGATAAATTAAGTGAAAAATGGAGCACTACTAAGCAACAAAAAAAGCTGACCTGTTTGGAAGAGATTTAGCGTAGGCACCAGCCAGAGCTTCTCTCAGGATATCGCTGGCAAACTGCTCTGTAGCCTGAAAAACACAGCGTCACAAGATAAAAGGAAACCTGGGAAGAGTACATGGAAATTCACTCAAAGTGTGCGTAGAGCTGGGAAGAAGCATTGTCCCCTCTTTGGGCTAAATGTAAAATCAGCAATCAATCAATCCATCCATTAACCCGCCCACCCACCCGATTCAAACATGTTTGGTTGTTAACCTGTTGGCACCCTGATTATCTGGACCTCTCAGAAGAGAAGGATTAGGGCAGAAATCACCGTGACAATCTTGCCGTGTGAATGCTGCACAATCCATCAGAGTGATGGTGGACTGGTCTCCAGCAGTCTATTGCAAAAAGTGGGCTACACCCTGATGGGTTACCATTCCACCACAGGACAACACATAGACATGCAAACAAGCACACACCCCAAGTAAGAATCGCAGATTAACTCAAGCGTCAAATTTTTTTGGACTTCAGGGAAACATGCAAACTCCATGCAGAAAAGACACTAAACCCATAATCTTCTTGCTGCAAGGCAACAATGCAACAAACTGAAATAATGTGAGTCAATATGAACAGGGCTTTAAGATGATGATCTGAACTTTATTGGGAAGAAATAATTCTAATCAGCCTAGATGGCCCTTTATTTCTCACTTAAAGAGAACCTGTGAGATGCCCTTAAAGAAGCAAAACTTTATGTCTAATCTGAATAAATTTACTAACAGATGACAAAGTTAGTGATATCTATCAGTTGAGCTTTTTGAAAGTTAATCTGCAGCTTTGCAGTAAAGAAAATCTCACTGACAGTCAAACACTGTGGTGGTATGTTGATCTTGGTTCACTTAGTTAATTTATAACCTGAACAACTTTTCAACAATATTGGAGCCTGTATGGTTTCTAGATGAAAATCCTGAGGGAGTACGCTGGGCGCACCAGGAGAACGCTACCTGCACCATTAGGTTCACCAGCTTGGACATAACGCTGTGCCTTCTACCTTCTAAATGTTTTCATGAAGTGCTGTCAAACTGTTTCCAGAACGTTTAAAAAGAAGCTCAAACTTTATCACTTTATGATTAAAACTGTTGGGATAGCATCAGCCCTGGCGCAGGCACTGACCTTTAAAATCATTGCTTCGATTACTGGAGCAAACACATTCTTCTCCACTTCTACTGGTTGAAATGTTACGCCAACCTGAAAGAAACAAAAAGGTCATAGCAAAGCTCCCCCAACAAACAAACAAACAAACAAACATAAATTGGTAACTTTCAGAAGCTCTGAGAGGGGCTCCAAACCTGCTGAGCTGTTTCACTGATAAACTGAGAGGACATGCAGGGACCGAGGAAAAACTTAGGCTCCACGTCAGTTTCCTGTTCCTCTTCCTTGACCTTCAGCTTCTGGCAGGGAGGAGTCACTGTGACAATGTCCACTATTTCATCATCTTCTTCCTCAGGTTCAGTCTTCAGCAGGGCTTGCATCTGTTCCAACCGTAGAACCAGCTCCTCATAGTTGCTGAGGGTCGATGGGCACTCTGGAGTTTTTTTGGGGTTGTAAACGAGAAGCTTTTCATTTCAATTCAGCAATATGATAATAAGAAAAACATCCTATTTAAACGACAAAGTGAGAAACGGAACAAAAGAATGATTATCATTGGATCTGGCCAGGCAATGACTCACTGAGCTAAGCAGCACCGTCTCTCACCTTTCAGAGACAAAAGACTGGATAAATAAGGTCTGTCTCCGTATCAACAGAGTTGGTGTCACAGAGTCCACCTTCACACTCACAGACCAGCATTCATATTACTTTATCAAGTGCTAACTGCAGAAGCATTCATTACACCTACGCATTAAACACTGAGCAGGAAACAATTGTCCACTGAAAACAATAGAATCCAAAGATCTGCCCCTCCCCCCTTTGAATTTAAAGAAAGTATTTAGGAAGCGCTGCTTAGAAACAACAAAATGTCAAACATAGGCAGAAACCTACCAGGTTCGTTATCGATTTGTGTGAGGATGTCCTCGATGGACTCATCATCCTTCCTGAGTTGGGGCTCAGGGTCAGGTGGAGTGAAGCCCCTTTGTCGGCACCATTGGACAACCTCTTTGGTCTTTGGGGGTGTAAGGGCCTGTAGTCGAGGTGAGCGATCCAGGACGTCCTGGACAACCCGTTTCACTGCAACTGCACGCTGAAGCTATGGAGAAACCAACAAAATTATATCAGTAAAATAATTTGCCTTGCCCTACTTATGCTTTTAGATTTTCTCCTACTAAGTTAGAAACTGGCAGTACAGTGCTCTATCTTTTTTATACCTCTACCATTCTGTTATTTTTATACACTTCTTAAGGTCCCCATTTGTGTGTCTATTTTTGCTGTAATGCTTTTGCTGCTGTAATACCACAATTTCCCCATTTAGGAACAAGAAAGGGATTTTTTATTCTATCCTATAATTGATTGCTCAGATGTTTGGTTTAACGTTGTACCT